CCTCGGCTCCCAGATCACCCCACACCGCCAGGGAGGGATGGACGAGCGCCCGCCTCCCAGCCCCGCGCAGTCATTACTGGTTCCTCACAAGGCCCCGAGGCACCGCACGCCCCCGAACGGCCTTCGGGACCATCAAGGAAAGATTAAGCCGTGCCTTGTGTAATTGCTCTTTGAAATGCCTTCTATTTTATCCTCTTGCTTGGAAAATTGATAACCTATGGATTTTCAATTAACTTTATGTTACAGAGAACGTTCCGTTTACCCAAGTGTATTCCCCGTTCTCTTCCAGGGGCTTAGTATCCATCTCAGGCCGTCTCCCCAAGGAGGACAGAATTTGGAGGTGGCAAGATTATGGATTTGTCATTGGAGGGCCAGGCTCCAGCCTCTGCAAGTCACCCAGCCTCGCCCAGCCTCCATGTCCTCACCTGTGAAAAAACGGATTCATGCCAGCCTCACTCCCTCAGGGTCACTGCCAGCAGCAAGCAGGTTACGGGTGTGTGTGCAGGTGTCGTGTCTGTGCAAATGAGACCTGCTTGGGAAACACCTGAGAACAGCTTGGTGAGACCCCAGGCTCAGCCGGCGAAGCTGCTTAGCTTGGGCCAGGAGCACCGGCCAGGCATCACGGACCCAATAGCAACCTGTGCAGCCTCGGGCCAGTCACTAGGCCACTGCGGGCCTCAATTTTGTCATCTGTAAAATGGGAGCAGGCTGACCTGGAGGAGACCGGAGATGGCAAGTTGCCGGTTTGAGAACCAAATTGTGCCCATCGGCAGCTTTTAACTGAGCAGCAGCGTTTCAAACTCATTACCCACATGTAAAAACGGAGAGATCACCTATAAAGATCTGGAATCGTGGTTCTTTTTTAAAACCAGGAAGATCTGGTAAAAATGAGGCCCGTATTCTTGCAAGGGGAAAAGGGCCAGTGCCAAGCAGCCATTGGGGCCCCTCTCTCTTTTACGACTCTCCTGTGCCTCCCGCCCAGCTGGCTCCCCGAGCTGGTGTGGACTGGCCTGGCCCCATGCGGGGTCATGACCCCTAACGGAGTGATCTCTAAGGCTTCAGGCCTTGACCCATCACAGCTCCCCCAGGGATGCTGGCCCACATCCTAAAGGACACAGAGCCACCCACCACCTAGGACCTGCCCAGGACCACCCTTCCCACCCAGACCCTGGCCGGGGCCGGGCACATTCCTTCAGCCGCTGCCAAGCCGCTGCCTCCCCCAGACGGTGCAGCCAGAGCCAGTCACTCACAGCTGTGGTTACCCGCGCGCTGATTTCTGTTTTAAAAAATACTGCTGGGTAAACAGTGAGGGAAACCCGAGCTGTTCCCACACCACATAAATCCCCGGGTTGCTGTCCTATCTGGTTAGCTGCTTTCCCCCCTGCAGCCGCGCGCCCGGAAAGCCAGGCCCGGAGTCTGCCCGCCCGGCCTGGCGTCTCCACTCCGGCGGCCGCCCTCCTCCTCCTCCTCTCAGCGCTTCCTGCCCAGGGCACCCCCCTTTGTTCTCACTGCTCCCACCTGGACGCCCTTCCTCCCCCTCCCTCCTCCCTCTGCGTTGTCTCACGCCAACGGCTCCCACGTCCACGGGAGAACTTTCTGGGGGACCCTGGGCCCCTCCCGCAACCGGCAAGCCCACAGCCAGAGGCAAACCCACCCAACGACCACACCGCCCCTGGAGTGCCTCCTCCTGTGAGTTTCCGTCCAGGGTCCTCCTCATAGTGCTGATCCGGCTGGCAGGTGAGGCTGGGCCTTCGTCCCCCCGAAGGTGACCTTTGCCCCAGGTTGGCGTTTCTGGATCAGGAGGGTGGGTGGGGTCGGGGGTGGAAAAGACACCCAGTTGAATTTGAACGTCAGATAAACAACAGGGAACTGGTGAGTGTAAGTATGTCCCACACATTGCAGGGAACACACTTACCCTGGGCGCCCCGTGTTCTGTCCGCTGCCCTAACTCAGAGCCTCTCCCTGCGCAGGTGCGGGCGCCCAGCCCAGGGCCCGCTTCTGAGCACCTCCCGGGCGTCTCACCCGTCTGTACCGCAAGCCTCTACTTCTCAGCCCAGGCAACCGAGGTCACGTGACTTCCAAAGCCAAGGTGCCAACGCAGGCCCCTCTGGGTATTGTTTTGAAGTCACCAGGCCACAATCAGATGGCCAGCACTAACTTTTAAAAAAAAAATAAAATAAATACATACACACACACACACACACACACACACACACACACACACACGGGCCCTAGCCGGTTTGGCTTGGTGGATAGAGCGTCAGCCTGCAGACCAAAAGTGTCCCAGGTTCTATTCCGGTCAAGGGCACGTGCGTGGGTTGCGGGCTCAGTCCAACCTGCAGGAGGCGGCCAGTCAATGGTGGCGTGTGGCCCTGGCTGGTTTGGCTCACTGGATGGAGCGTCGGCCTGGGAACCGAAGGGTCCCGGGTTCGATTCCGGTCAAGGGCATGTACCTTGGTTGCGGGCACATCCCCAGTAGGGGGTGTGCAGGAGGCGGCTGATCAATGCTTCTCTCTCACCGATGTTTCTAGCTCTCTGTCCCTCCCTCTTCCTCTCTGTGAAAAATCAATAAAAATATATTTTAAAAAAGAAAATAAAATGGGTGTGATTTGCCTGAGACCACAAAGCTGATGTAAGGCAAGGCCATACCATCCATCTGAGTCTTCTGCCCTTGGCCCCGGGCTCTGCCGCAGCTCCCCCTGCAGGCGGGCGGGGTGGCAGCGCACGGGAGCGAGTCTGTGGTGTAAGGACACGAGGAGGGAAATTCCGAAGGTTCTGGGAGAGCTCAGGTGTGGCCAAGCCCACGGCCCAGTCAGGGCTCCTTGGGGACCCTCCTCCTCCCACCCGCTTTTCCTCTTCCTCCCCCTCCCCCATCCCCCCAACAACAACCAGAACCGGGGCCCCTCCCTTCCTGGAAGCCCTGCTCCTCCGGCCGCCAGGCCTGGGGCTTTATTCCCCCAAAAGCCACTCCTGTCCGTCTCGGTCTCTGGGACCTGCAGGGCCTCGACGGGGAAACACTGACGTGGAGGAGGCTAAAGGTGCCGGTGCAGGGCCTTCATCTGACAAACGGGCGGCCGGGAGGGAGGGGAGGCCCCTTGTTGTTCTTTAACGGCCTCAGAAGAGGGGCCTGTCAGGAAGATGTAGAGGCGGGCGGGCCCCCGGCTGTGCCCGGCGGGGTGTCTGACAGACGCCGGCAGCTGCTCAGGTCGCCCGGGTGCCGGGCCCCCTCCCGCTGACCTCTCCGCCCACCACCCTGCCGTGACCGGGGCCACCCCTCCCCGGGGCAAAGGGCCAGGCTGCCGGCCTCCTGGGGGCCAGATGAGGAGCCGGAGCGGGAATCCGGTTACAGGCCCCAGGAAGGCTCTGCTGGGGACGCGGACAGCCAGCCCTTCCTCCCGCCTCGGCCTCCCCCGTGGGGATTCCTTCCAGAGCCGCACAGCCGGGGGCCCCTCGAGGGACCGTACGTACGAGGCTGATTTTGTAGAATTTCCTCAATGCTCCCCAGTCCCTCCGTCTCCGTTCAGAGAGGCTGGGGCGGGAGCGGAACGTATCCCCCTTACCCACTTTCCCATTCGCGTGTATGGGTATGACATTTTCAAATGTCTGTGGGCGAGGCATGCTGCGGCGATGGGGCCAGGCTGAATTCCAGGTCCTTTCCTTCCCAGCTTGTGTGACCTTGTGCAGGGCACAGAGTCTCCGTGCGCTTCAGTCCTTTCCTGGAACACGGAGCTGACGCGGAAAGCGCTGGCCTCAGGGGGCTTGTGTGGGGACCCGTCGGGGGAGTGGGTGTGAGGGTCTAAGGCCCGAGGGAGGATGTCAGCGGTCGGTGGCTGAATGGACTGCCCCCCCCCCCCAGGTGTGGGAACGGGAGCTCAGAGAGGCGAGGCGGCGTGTCTTCCGAGCAGCCCCGGCCTCCCTCTGAGCCTCACCTTCCTCACGTGTGAAATGTAGGCCACAACGCTCACTTCACCGGTAACAGGCGAGGGGGGAGGTGCGGGGAGAAACGGGCAGGCGGCCGCAGAGTCCCGGACGCCGCGGAGAAACGCCCCGTCGCCTCGGCTGGCCTCCAGCCCCCGGCTGCCCGCTCCGGAGGACGCAACGCCTTTTTCACGAAGAGCGAGCGTGAGGGCAGCCTCCGGGCCGGGGAGCTGAGACCCTCCTCCTCCGGAGCCAGAGGCAGAGGCGCCGCTGTTGTGGCCCCGGTGGGCCCCGGTCCACGGACTCTGGGCCACGGGCGAGGAGCTGTGTCCTCTGGTCTTGCCATCCTCCAAAAAAAAATCACATTATCCCCCCACAGAGCCCAGCAGGCCCCGGGAATGGAGTGCATGGACTGGCCGGTTGAAATGGCAGGTGGCCCTCCTGGGATTGGCACCGGCCAGGAAGCCCACGTGAGCGTGTGCCAAAGAGAACTCCTTTGGGAACGAGACCACCCCCAATTCCTGGTTCCACGCCCCGGAGTCCGCAGAAGCCGTGGCCTCTGGGGTTGGGGAGGCGGGCGCCAGGGGGTGAAGGTTGGGGAGCCCGGAGCAGGTGCGGGAGCCTTAGAGAAACTTCAAGGACTTTATCTGAGAGCCTCTTCCTCCACCCCCCCAGGAGAAAAATGACTTGAGACCCCTCTAGTCTTGACTTGAAGAGTGTGGCTAATGGGCATTAAGTGGAGGGTTAAAGAGAGGAAGGAAAAATCTGATTTTTTTTTTTTTTTTTTAAGTTACTGAGAAAGTGAGAATGTCACTTTGGACAGAGAGAAATCTTTTTTTTCCCCGGGGTATGTCTTTTTTATACCACAGGCCCTTGTGGGCCGAGGAGGCCTGCAAATAAAAAAAGATTCCCTTTCATCCACCTTCCCTTTTGCAGGCGGCGGTGGACGGGCTTTTAAATCACACGCCATCAGCAGCCTTGTCTCCTGCGCTCATTCCCGGCTTCCCTCCCTGGAATCTGGCACTTGACGGACTCTGGATCTGACTCGGGGCTCTTTCCAAATCCAAGACGCGGGGAATTTTGTTAACAGCGTCATAAAATAACTTCACAGTGCTTACAGGAGGCACATTAAAGAAGGGGTGTGTGTGAGCGGCTCTCTCTCCTCAAAAAAAAAAAAAGAAAAGAAAAGAAAGAAATACAGACAATGTTTCTTTAAAAGTCTCCATCTGCAAATCCCATTAGATGTGCATATAAGGTTTCTGATGATTAATAGTTGCCTGCTCGGGTTTTGGTTGGAGGGGAGTGTGTGGGTGCGGGTTAACCCCTCCCTCTCCTCTCTCACATTTCACTTCAGAAATTTGTCACTCTCTCCCCACCGCAGCCTTTAAAAGTGTGTGTCTCCGCAGCCCTGGCCAGCCCTCCCAGGCGTTTGCCGAGGGCTCCGGGGCGCGCCGTCCGCTGGCCGTGAGTCTGGGCCGGGACAGTGAACATGCTTAGTGTCACCGGCGACAAACACACGCACAGGGCATCCCACTAGGCAGGCTGGTGCGTCCGGAGGCAGGAAGCCAGCAGAGAAGGCAGACGCAAGTGTGTACACACACACACACACACACACACACACACACACGTGTGTGGACTTCTAAAAGAGACTTTAGTTTGGGGTTTTGTTTTGGTTCCTGGGGTGAACTTTCTGTTGAACGTTTTTTCCCCCTACTATTTAATTTTAATTTTTTTTTTTTTTTTTTTTGCATTTAAAAAAAAAATTGACTCTAACAAGGGTAAGACTCGAACCCTCGAAGGACTGAGGCGTGCCGCGGACCGCAGATGGATCCCGTGGCCAGCAGCTGCATGCGGAGCCCCCACCCCCCGGCCCCCGTCTGGGGCTGCCTCCGGAACCCCCTCTCCGAAGGCAGCGGGGCCTCGGGGCTGCCCCACTACCCGCCCACCCCGTTCTCCTTCCACCAGAAGCCAGACTTCCCGGCGGCGACAGCGACGGCAGCGTACCCCGACTTCTCCGCCTCCTGCCTGGCCGCCACTCCGCACAGCCTGCCCCAGGAGGAGCGGGTCTTCGCCGAGCAGCACCCCGCCTTCCCACAGCCCCCCGACTGGCACTTCCCCGGCTCAGAGACCCAGCGGAGGCTCACCCCGGGCCCCGCGGGGGGCTGCAGGGAGCCGGGGGCCAGCAGCCCGGGGCTGGTGGACGCCGCGGGGGGCCCGGCAGAGGACTGCGAGGTCTTCGGGAGCACCGCCAGCGAGACGGAGAAGAAGGCATCCAGGCGGAAAAAGGACGGTGCAGGTAGGTGGCCGGAGAGCAGCTGGCCGTGCCGCTGCTGTGTGGCCTCGAGGAGGTTTCTCGCCTAGTCTGAGCCTCACGGCCCTGGCTGTGCCTTGCAAACAGGTCTGTCTAAACTAGTCAGAGGCAGGAAGGAGTTCCCTTCGGGGTGTCTTCTACTCAGAGCTCTAGGGTTCTCTGGTGACGGGGACGTCTGTGACCCCAGGACTCCTGGGCCCCAAGGAGGATGTGCCAGCCAGAGAGGGGAACAGGACCCACAGGGATGGGGCCTCCGTGGAGGCCGGCAAGGGCTAGAGAGGGGCTTTCCTGACCCCGGGCCGCCTCTGGGTCATGCTGCTTCTCCCTGCCAGGCCCCCACCAGCTCCAAATGGTCCCAGAGCCTCAGGGTGTGCTCACCGTGGGAATCAGCTGGGACGGAGGCTGGCGGGGGAGGAGGGGGCTAGAACCAAGGCCAGAACCCTGGGTGGTCAAGCAGAGCCAGGCCCCTGTGCCTCCAGGAGCCTAGAGACAGAGGAGCAGGACTAGGGCTGGGAGGGGAGAGGCAATGAGGGGAGACGGAGCGCTGAGAGCTGGAGCGGAGAGCCCACAGGGTCTCCCCCTGCCGAGGGGGGCCGTGCCCAGGCCCAGGGGGCAGGTCAGCATCCTCAGGTCTGGGTGACCCTCGGGGAAGGCGCTCCTGAGGGATCTCGGGCCTTGGGAGGGAGAGTCAGGGAGGCAGGCAGCCAAGGGCAAGCGCTGGACTTCAGCATGCAGGGAAAGCCCAGCTCGGCGCTCGGCTCCGGAGGCCAGAGCATGGCGCTGGTCCTCTTATCAGGACCCCAGCACAATCCCTTCTCCTCCCGGTGGCAGGGGCTCGTTTCCTCATCTCCCTCCTCGCTTCCCTCACTGCATGTTCGCCTTTGTCTGGGTCCCTCTCCCACATTGCCCAGAACAAGGCAGCACCCATGCCTCCTGCCCCCGCTGCCCACTATGCCCTCCTGACAGCCACCCTTACGGCAACGTCTACCTATCTGAGCCTACGGAGGACCTTCCCGTGGGCCGACCAGGGGCAGGGAGGAAATGCGAGTGCCAGCCAGTCCATGACAGCGTTCTGTGCTCTGCTTCACAAAGCACTTTCGATATAGCACAGATTTCCTCAGCGTTTCTTTTTGCCAACCCCGACCTCGGCCCTGGGCATGCAGAGATGAATAAGACGGTCTCATCCTGTCTCCCCCCCCCCCCCCACACACACACACACACACACAATCTCACACTGAGAGGGAGGAGAAGCCTGCAGATGCCTGTCTGACAGGGATGTGCTGCAGCCGGGGAAATCCAAGGTGCAGCAGACAACACACATTCGCCCTTTTGAGTCCCACCAGTTCTCGAGGCAAGACCAGCAGGTCTTACCAGTAGGTTGTCTACGTGTGGAAAGGAGATGCCTAATGTTTAAGGGCGGGGGTGTCTCTGCTAGAATGGAGTCTGAACAGAGTGAGCCACTCATTTCAGCTTGCCCAGGGCTTTTCTGATGGTAGCGTTGGAAGTCTGTGTCCTGAGAAACCCCTCAAACCGGAGCCACTGGTCACCCTAGAACTCAGCTCAAACCCTGAATGTCAGACCCCAAGTCTCACGCCCTTCAGTAGATCTCCAGCACGAGCCTCCTTCTGAAAGAGGAGGATTGTCCAACACGCTTAAGGAGACAGATAAATACCACAACACCCTCAGCACGCTCACCGGGGATGAGAAGGATCACAGCCTTCCTGGCTGCTCCGCAGAAGGGCCCTTTAGATTTCCAACCGGTTCAGGCCTGAGCTATTCCGAGCCCCGGCTGGAGATTTGCTGAGAATGGGACACGCTGTGCTTCTTTCTGCTCTCCGAGGGGCTCTCAGAGACTTGGCTGTGAGCCTGACTGAGAGCTCGCCCCTCCATGGCGCCCTCTCTGCCCACACCCCCCTCCGCTGCATCCACCGCTTTCCGGGCACCGCCATGGGCTGGGCTCAGGAAAAACCGTGCCGTGTCTCAGCAAGACCCAAACACACGACTTTCCCTTTGGCCCGCGGCCCATGGCACTGCGTGAGGGAGTAAACCCGTGTGCCCAGCAGCCGACCACCCCAGGCGGGCATGGACGCCCTCTGCTGAACTTCCTCATTCTTCACAGGGTCAGCCTGGGGCGGGGGAGGGCCCCGTCCTGGAGGGGCCCTGGGCTCACGACAACAGACCCGGGAGGGCTGCCGAGCACAGCGAGCTGACTGACTTTCATTCATTCTCTGGGGTTCCAGACCTTCGGCTTGGAAATCTTTATCACCCACTCAGTGGCTTTAAGTCTCCCTTTGGAATTCAGCCGGAGGGAAGGAGACAGGAAAGGTCAGCTTTGCAAGGAAGGGCGTACAGGAAGGGGGAAGGGGTGGCAAGGCTCACCCCTCACCCTAGGAATCCGCCCACAAAGCACCCCCTCGCCATCCCACCAATCCCGAGCCACTGGTTGGATTCTTTCTTATTTAAAAGTTTGTTTTATTCAGCATAGATTTTTTTTTTGCATTCATTTTTATTTTTTAAAACATTTCAGTGCAATATTATTTCTCTTGATTTACTGAGGTTTTAGGCGCCCCATGCATTTTGTACTCAAATGGGATCGATCGCCTTAAACACTTCCCCTTCACCCCGGCTAAGCCAGTGGTCGGCAAACTGCGGCTCTCGAGCCACATGCAGCTCTTTGGCCCCTCGAGTGTGGCTCGTCCGCAAAATACCACAAACAGGCGTGCACGTGCAGTGCGAATGAAACTTTGTGGCTCATGCGCAGAAGTCGGTTTTCGGCTCTCAAAAGAAATGTCAGTCGTGGTACTGTTTGATATTTGGCTCTGTTGCCTAATGAGTTTGCCGACCACTGGGCTAAGCCATCTCTGGGAGGTTAACCAGCGCTGGTCAGAAATGTGTTTTCGTTAGTGCGTCACGGCTGGGCAGACAGAGTCAGCGTCAGCACCACCACTTCTGGCGGCATGACTTGGGGAAATCCTTAACTTCCTGGAGCCTCAGTATCCCCAGCTCTAAAACGAAACGATAACAATAGCACCTCCCACTGAGAGAGGCTGTGGAGGTCAAGTACAACGACCCACGACCCACGAGATGAGCACTGTGCCTGGTCTTTGAGCTCAATAACCGGCAGCTATGAATGTATGAGCCCCTTTCTCCAAAACCAGCCTCTGTCAAATCTCTGTTATTCTCGGGCTCAATGGAATGGAAGGTTTCAAATGCGCCGTCTCAGAAACTCCTGAGTCTGGGGTGTAAGACAGGGAAACCTCTTACAATCGTCGCTGGTCCTAAGAAACCAGTTGTCATCAATTAGGAGCTTGGAGCTCAGAGATCTGCTGGACGTGGGGGGGTGGGGGTGGGTGGGGGTGGAGGGGGTAAGCGAGGTGTGGGGAGTAGGGGGGGTTGGGGGAGAGAGGGTGCCTGGTCAATGCCTCCCCTCCTGGCTGGTGGAGAAACTTCCCGGAACAGAAAGTTACAGAAAGTCTGTTTCCAAGGGAATATTCTCCGCTCCCCCTCTCCTTCCTCTGCCAGCCTCAGCTGCTCCCCCTGGAAGTGGGCTGCTTTGCTCAAGGAAAGGATCATGAAAGCGGGGTCCCGGGCCCCCCACTCTGAGACCTTCGGGTGGTTCACAGCACAAGACTGATTTAGAAGACCACTGTGAGGTTATCTCACCGCAGCCTCCCCCAGCCCGGGGCCAGGGGTGTTAAGACCCCTGCTGGCAGAGACAGCTGCGAGCCGCTGCTGTTTGCCCCCCATCTGTCACTGCTACTGTGGCTGTCTTTAATTTACGGGGAGGAGGGATTTCTCGGTGATTTCCTGAGGGGGTTCAAGGGAAGGTCGCCTGCGATGGGCCCGGCTGCAGGTGGATCTGATCGCCCAAGAGGGGGCCCCTGTGCTCCGGCTCAGCACAGCAGGCTGGGCTCTCCGGACTCATCCTGCCTTCATCAGGCTCCCTTTGTCCCTCCTCCCTCGGCTCCAACACATGTGCCTCCTAGGGGCTCGGCCCCCGGCCCTCTTCCTGCAGGACCTGATCTCTGCCTGCCCCAGGAGTTTCAGACTGCACTGTCCACAACAATTTTAACCACATCGGAGCTCTCCTGAGAATCTTATCATGAGACGTCTTGTATTTGAAATCTCCTAAGCTTTGCTTTTTTTTTTTTTTTAATGGTCAAAACTGCATAAAATGGACCATCGTAACCATTTTTAGGTGTGTGCTACCATAGTGTTCACTGTAGGTGCATTGTTGTGCAAGAATCTCTAGAACTTTTTCATCTTTCCCCCCTCCCATGATTAGTAGATTTATTAAACCATAATATATACAGTCATCATTGTCAGCCTTCATAGGAGATGTTATAGTTCCGGTCCCATTTTCCTTCCTGGATAAGGTTTTCTTTCCTATCTCTGTCGGTTTTGAAAAGGTAATGCCGGAAGATGAGGGGCCCAATTCCAGACACAGCTCCCAGGAGTGTGTTCGTGGGAGTGGCTCTGAGGTTGGGGTAGACACTTGCTGCTCTCGCGTAGGTCCCGGGAGCCAAGGCGGGACCTTCGATGAGCCCCAGCGAGTGGGGTCGTTGTACTGAGGCAGGTCCCCCCTTTTCAGCCGGGGTCTTATGGCCAAGCGCTGGGCTCGTGCCTTCCAGGTTTCCGGAGATGCGTCCTATTCAGCGGGGTCAAGGGGAGGGGGCAAAGGGGCCAGGCGCGCCGGCTTGTCCTTAGGGTTCGACATCTTGGGAACCTGGCCTAGAATTTTTTCATCTTGTAAAACGGAAACTCTATGTCCGTGGAATGATAACGTCCTTTCCCCTTGCCCCATGCCTGGCAACCAGCATCTATTTTCTGCTTCTAAGTGTTTGGCTACTTTAGAGACCTCATATAAGCGGAATCATGCTGTATTTGTCTTTTTGTGACTGGCTTTTATACTAAATATTTTATTTTGCATAACGTCCTTGGGATCATTCATAGTGTAGCATTTTGACAGGATTTCCTTCTTGTGA